ATTTTTTACATCGTGGCATCTCAGGCAAAGCCGCAACAAACACTTGGTTGAGATTCATCTGGGATGGAAGTGGGCAAGATCTTGGCAATTAACATGCCAGGTCAAAGGCGTATTTCAGGCTTAGTAAAACACCCATTAAATTAATTGAGATTGAGGGTTTGGGTAGCTGGGAACAATGTCGATTTTGAATAAAGCAACGGATCATAAAAAAAACATCCATTTCGTGGTGCATTACCCTTCTATTTAGGTATGTATGGGTGTACATTTAGCTTTCGCACTCAGCCAACCGTGCTAATCGGAGGTGCGGGGCGAAAACATGTTACTTAGGTAACCGAGTGGCTAAGAGGAAAATAATTAGAATAGAAATCAGAGAACACAACATCAATGTGATTGAAAATGTGGGACATGGCCAGGTGGCTCAGGGATCAGTGTGCTGAGCTGGCACCGCTGAGATGTGGGGTTTGAAAAAAGGCAGCGGGCCATGATTAAACGTGATTCTGCAGTGTATTTGATGGTCTCAGCCTGGTCACCAACAACAACACAAAACTTTCATCCCTAAAATTCAGATACTGATATAAAATAACCAAAATAAATGCTTTACTATATTCTTTTTACCAGTATAATGATCAGGTCACATATGCAAGATCTTTCCTCACTGTCCTGTAATGTCATGACTATTGTAAAACCTTAACACTTGAAAGGAAATATATTGGCCTCACAAAGCACAACTGTGCTGGAACCTAATTCATAAGAATGCATTCCTTAAGTTAGGCCATTCTTGTTAGGAGTGTAAGATCAGAGTACAATTAATGCACAAGTTGCTTCCATCCTAATTGCATTTACGTAATTAATCAGTGTGGGGGCCGTGGGGCGTATGTCAAAAGAGCGTGGTGGGCGTTTTTGCCCCCAGTAGTAATGAGTTTTCTCATTCTCATAGGGGTGTGCTAACTTTGTTACATACAAGCCAATTTGTCAGAGAACGTTGCTAGGCTGTGGCCCAGATACTATCCCTCGGGAAACTAGACAACAATTGGTTAAGACAGACAGACTCTGGTCTTTGACCTCCAGTGCAATATTGATGGTTCTCTGGGGATTTTCAAGACACTACATCAATATAGCAATCAGTTAAATCAGCCCTGCCTGGCTCAGCCTTCAATTGCTATGCAGTAGTCCCTCGATAAACGTGTTAATACGTTCCACAAAAACGATTGTTAACCGAAATAACTATTAATCGTATTTAGGAATTACATGTTTAAAGAAAGCAGAATTAAAACAAAAAACACGATGTAAACAAAGCCAGTCGAGGTCTCAACGCTCATAAATTGGCGTCGATGATTGGCTGAGGACATGTCTCAGCCCAACTTACGAGCGCTTGGATTGGCTGAAATTGGTGCCCGCTCATCAATATTTTAACGTCAATCGAAACCTATGGGAGGTTAAACATTAACCGAAAACCCGTTAACCGATGTCACTGTTAAAAGAGGGACAACTGTAATACATGTCCCTTTGAATCTCAGAATCTGCTGACACAATGTGTTTATTTCAGGAGTTTTTGTGATGATTAAAATGGTATTACAATTACAAACGTTTATTTAATACAGTCTCACCTCTCCTAGTGTATTACTAAAGTAAAATGCTTCTTCAACGCGTTGATGTGGGGATGCTATGGAAGGATCATTTTCGTATTTATCCATGCAAATTATTTATTTGATCTGTGTGGAAAAGTGTATACACAAGATACTGTAATAGCAAATTTGCACATGAACAGGTTATGATTACGCAAAGGATCAGATGATATAAATAATTCGGTAATAAATACATTATGGGCAAAACAAAAGTCCTGTACAACTTTGCTAAAACAAAATAATTGTAGGAGCGACACGACTAGAAATAAAATAATATATGTAAACCTAGGACAATCACTGAAGGCAGATTGAGATGAAAATAATGAAGTACAGATGCAGAATGGCATACTTTTGATCAAATAAATTAGATAATGAAAATCAATAAACCAATGTGCCTGAAGAAGTTTGCAATGCAGTAATTGCATGTTTTATGCTTTGACATATTCTCTACAACCTGAAAAGTATGCAAGGAAGCACAGATGCCTCCTCGGATTTAAATGAGACAGAAAGAGGGACACGTTGATAAGGTAAATGCAAGTTAGCGGCATCGTATTTCCGATGAAGGAAAACAAAATGGGCTTGGGAAGGACATCGCATGGCTGGAGGAGTGATGGCAGATGGACAAAACTGGTGACAGAATGGCAGCCAAAGGAGAAAATACAGGCGAGGATGTACACCACGGATATGGAGCTCATGTGCTGGATATGGATTATTACATCGCAAAACCGTGGTGGATTCTGACAGCATGGAAGTGACCTTTATTCAGCAGTGGATAGATCATGGGTGATGACCACTCTCCAGTCCTGTGTATCAGTTTCACTAATATGTGGTGAGAGGAGGGATGACGTGAGGTGATGGGTGAAGGAGTTGTTGGATGGACTGATGGGTGGGAGTAGTGGAGGAAGTTGGGATGTGATGGGTGGTGAGGAAGCAATAATGGTGAGTGGTGAAGAGGATGTTTTTGAGGGTGATGGGTGAAGGAGTGATGACGAGGCTGTCATGGGAGCCACGATGGCGAGATGTTAGTTCAGTTAGTTCAGTTCAGTTAATTTATTAGGTATAGCCCTGTGAGCCATTCGGCTCTTGAATCGGGTGCCACCACAACAAACAAAAACATGAACAAGAAACGTCTTAAAGTGACTACGCACAACAGAAAAATCCAGGAAAAAGCAGCAAAGTCTTCCAGAAAAAGCACCGCGTATCAACGCTGTGTGCAAAAATCCCAGTGGGATGCAAGTCAAACAATAACAACCATAAGACAATTTAGGTTAAAGTTACCAGTCTAACTCTGTGTACTACAACAAACAAATACGGCTAAACCAGAACCTTTTCGAAATTACCAAAATAAAGTTCTAAAAACAATGTAACAGTGATCACAGGAACTGTGATTTCCAATTTAACAATAAACGATATACGTGACATGTACGACCAAACGTTGCAAGCCACAGCATCACTCCTGGTCGTGGGTTCGATCCTGACCCTGACGCCTGTAAATTTGGAGTTTGCATGTTCGTGAACAATCTGAATTGTTCACGAGGCAATTCAGATTTAGATTTACAAACACAGACACAATGTCAACCGAGAGGATGGTTTCAAATTAAGCAACCATTGGAAAGATGTTCTGAATCAAACCAAACATTAAACTAATTTTCAATAGTACAGTATATTTTTTCAAGTAGTGATATCCCAAACTTTCGCAGCTGCTTAAATTCCCTTTTCACACCATCAAAATGTAAACTCCCCCTCCCCCCCTCGCCGGTCTGCACATGCTCCCCCCCTGTACATCGTTCATCATGCTAAGTCCGCCAATTAATTGTTATGCTAATTCATTTTGTCATGGTGCTCTGCTTCCTCTCACACAGCTTAAAGGTCGCGGTCTGAGCTTGGCTGTGTTCACTCCAGCGCTGTCCTCTAGACAGTCTGGTCCTTTCACCTGATGAAGGCCACTTGTGTTGTGGCCGAAACGTCGTGAATTTTTTTATGTGACTTTACCGAATAGAACCAAAGAGTATGGATCCTTGCAGTCACGAAAGCTTCCAATCTAGAGTTTGCATGTTCTCCCCGTTCGGCGCGTGGATTTATTTTCTCTCCGGGTCCTCCGGGGTTTCCCTTCACATTTAGAAACACGCGATAGGAGTTTTTGACCGGTATACATCCTCACGCTACGATACGCCACTTCCTTGAGCTACCATTTGTGGCCAGGTTGCTCCTTAGAAAAAAAATTGCTATGCAGTATAGCTTAATGGGGCCTTACCTGGTAAAATAAAAAACCCCGAGTAATAATAGTAAACAAAAATAGTAAAAAGTGGTTAATGCCAAATAAGCGAAACCGACCAGCTATTGCCATGAGGGGGCGCCAATCTGGACGCGAGAGAAGAGGATTGGGGCTCATCTTCTTTGGTTCTTTCGGTAAAGTCACGTAGAATGAGAATAAAATAATAAATGTATAAAATAACACAATAAAATTCTCACGACGTTTCGGCCACAACACAAGTGGCCTTCATCAGGTGAAGGGACTAGACTGTCTGGAGGACAGGGACAGTCTCACCTGATGAAGGCCGCTTGTGTTGTGGCCGAAACGTCGTGAGAATTTTATTGTTATTTTATTTTATTGATTTATTATTTTATTCTCATTCTACGTGGTGACTTTACCGAAAGAACCAAAGAAGATGAATCACTGCAGTCACGAAAGCTTTAAATCGAAAAGATTGGGGGTAGATAACTTGTGCTGTTTGTTTCTGTAACGTTCTTTTCGCCCCTTACTGGACATCTGTGAAAAAAAGAGCTTTATAGCTCATCGTATTCCTCCAGTATAAATAAAATAAATATTCTGATCATCCGACGCTAGTGGGGTCGGAGCAATCCCAAACAAAAACATTTAAAGCCAGTAAATCCTGATGTAAACGGGAGCAGAAACACACAAAAAAATTGTCCCCGATCAAACCGCACTTTTTTTGTCAGCATATGAGATGTGTTAGCGTTGATACCGGGTTCCACGTTGTTATTGTTTGAAAAATAAATATAAGTTCGTGGTAATAATCACGCGTGACTTCTGCAACACGCGCTCATCCTCGGAAGTGTTTTAAGTCGCAGGCCGAGAGCCAGCCGGTACATTTGCCAGCACAAACCCAAGATCGTCATTTAAAACGCCCTGGGTTTGCGTCTGTCAAATATTTGGGCAACTCTTCCCTTGACCCAACTTGGCCGGGGTTTCTATCGATTAAGAAACCAAATGGCGACAGCACTTTATACAGAACTGAAGTTGTCTTCGATATCGGATGGTGCCCCCCCCCTTCGCCCCCCCTGCGATACAAGACGCAAGACGCACGTGTCGTGTACAATAAACGAAACGCGTTTTTTGCTGCAGCCGAGCAGCAGCAGCAGGCTCGGCACCCGTAGGTCACGTGGGGTCACGCGTCGACCTTGCGTGAGGCCTGTCAGATACAGCTTTTTTTGTTGTTAAGGGAAAAGAAACAGCGGCAGTAATCATACGAATTGTCACGAACGCGGTTGTTACAATAACAGCGTCGACGATGTGGAAATCCGTGGTGTCGCTGGGACGCGGTCTCCTGCTGCAGTCGCTGAAAGCGCCGGCGGTCAATGAGGTAAACGACTTCGCCCGTGGAGTGGGCCCAGACTATTACAGTCACGCACTGCAGTGCACAACACCGTCACATTACGTCGCTGTTTGCTGTCGGTAAACTAATACGTTCGCATTCCTTTTTTGCGAATTCCACTGCTCGATGGAGGCCTCTCCCGCGCCGTGACGGTCACATACCTGTCAACCCAGACGGCTTACCCCGTATTCGTGTACAGGGAAATTGAGTTTGCAGGTGCGTGCGGCGTGTACAGCCGTTTCAATACGGGCACAAGCATAACGCCTATTTGTGTTTCTCCTTTGTGATGGGACTCTGTAGGATGAACGTTGAGATTTATAAGGGGCACGGGGGTGACCAATAAAGTCAGAATTGGTCTGTTATTATAAGGTAGGACGCTGATAATGGGTTGACAGGTAAGCGGTCATCATGGGGGATGTTTGACCATTGTTTTGCCGCAGTGGTCGGTGTGGGCTGGTGGTGTTCTCACCGATTCGTGATTGTCTTCAAATGTATTGACTTATAAGAGTGGTCTACCCGCCCACTCTGTACTGCCATCATCAACCTTGATCTGTCCACTGCAGGATGAAGGCCTCCGCAAGCAGTCATCGATGCAGTTAATACATAGTCCTTCCATGTAACAGTCCATCAAGCACCTGTGCATACGCTAATGTCATCACTCCATCTCCACGGTATACGTACTCGACCGTGTTCTCCTTCGGTTCCGTCTTCAGTCTCGACCAAACCGAGCAATGACGTGAGATGTATACAGAGCTAATACACTCTAGACGCGTAATTTCATGATACAAGCGTCAAAGCGAGCGAGAATGTATCTAATCGCATTACACCGTTCTCTTTAAGATAAATAATAAAATGTACGAGACACAACCAGAATCGTGATTTGAAGCTTTCGTGACTGCAGGGAATCCATACTCTTTGATTCTTTCGGTAAAGTCACGTAGGTATAAAATAAAATAAATCACGACGTTTCGGGCGCAACACAAGCGTCCGTCATCAGGTGGGAAAGCAACCAGAAGGTTCGAACCAGAGAGTGCAAACGAGCAGATCAAACGAAACATTTATGTAGCACAACACCGAACAGACAGTAGATGTGCAACAGATGTACAGACAATAGACGGTAAATACAAGACAGAGACGATGGTACAAACGAGACAAATGATCGATTATATGATCGAAACGTGAGCTCGTTAAGCTATTGTGGATCATATTCTTGGTTCTTTCCTTCTACGTGGTGACTTTACCGAAAGAACCAAGAATATGAATCCCTGCAGTCACGAAAGCTTTAAATCAAAATCTATTGTGGATCGTTAAATGAACCTTATGGTGGGGCCACCGGGGCCCCATAATAAGCCCCCGGCTCTCGCATAAACATATTATAATGTAAACATAATGTAAACATTATAATGTAAACAAACTTTGCTCTCTTTCACCAATGGGTTTGAAGGATGGTGACAAGTGTTGTCTTGTTAAACTATGCCTTTAAAACTGAAAACTACTTACCTGCAGTACCTCTATTTAAATACACTATCGAAAAAATAATTTACACCTCTCTGTCAATCATCGTGTTTCTAAGTGTGGATTTGTGAACACACTTTGTAAACAGTACATACAATAGTACGCGTTTTCAATGCGCTGTTTATATTGTAACAAGCGCTTTTACCGATATTATTCTACAGAGTAGTGGGTCGCCGCTCCTCTTATCCGCATTGATATAAGCGGTATGTTGGGACTATGGCTTAGCTGCAATAAAAAACCTATCTGCACAGATGCATACGGACAAGAGAAGTATTATCAAACAGGAGGAATTAACGGTGCAACGTATCTCATCTGTTAAATATCTGCAGGTAATTCTGCAGGTAATAGGATTATCATCGATTGATCCTGGCTGAAGACATTGGTAGGTCACAAATAATAATGAAGATAAGAGAGCAGTTTCACTGTATTATGCATACCGTTATGACAGATAAAGGACTTAAGTCGCGTAGGCAGTTTGAGCAGCTTTGGATAAGACTTATGATCCTGCCCATACACGAGCATGGAGTGAGTGCATTCGCTTGTTCAGCTCTTCTGCGCATTCGTCCTCACTGCTGCTGCGCTTGGACATAACAGAATGATCCGCGCCAGGTGGGTCGCGGCGTTTATGTGGCACGGATCCGCCAAAACTAAATTAATTAATGACGATTTTGACTTCCGTTTTTGTGGGACCCCAGGGTCCCGCCATAAGGTTCATAATGTCTATATAGTTCACCGTCACAGCACTTGTCGAGAATACCACCCGTCGAGAATACCACCCAATAACATTTCAATAGGCGAGTGCGTGCTGTCAAATAATACATATAATGAATAAAAGTAGATGCAATTAATCCTAAACAATAGTGTTAATACAGAACTTGTATACGGCTGACAGAAAGCACATGTATATGCCATGTTATTTCGCCGCTGATGTTAGCCGTGGCCGAGAAATGGAACTCAGGTGACTAGTTTTTTTGCAAAGTGCACTAATGACTGTGCCACCGCTGGAGCAGTTACAAATGTAAGTGTTACAAGTTAACTCAATACTGCACAGTGAAGCCTGGAACGAGACTTTTCAGACTTTTTAAATATTGGTGATGTGGAGGCATTCAAGAATAACCGTTTGATTCGTGTATACCGAGTGGTCACTGTTTGCAATTCCACAGCTCAACTTTGCTGCCACTTTATTGCCCCATCTTACATAGATTGGTTTGACAGTACTAAAGCTCTCGGCCACGCGTGATCATTACTGATGAGAGTACTCTACTGCCCTTCTTTCTACTTGCAGACGGTGCTGTCGAAGCCAGGAGTGATGTTGGAACAGAGGAGAAGTCACTATGTGGACTGGAGGATGCTGAGGGACGTCAAGAGGAGGATGATGGCAGCAGAGTACACAGACGAGAGGCTACGCATCAATGCCCTCCGCAAGAATACCATCTTGCCCAAAGAGTTGCAGGTGCAGCCCCAAAGCACCGCGATGCATCGCTCACAGAATTTTGTTGTGCCAGCCTACTTATAAATTACCCAGTTATGAATATTCAGTTGCAAGTAATCTTAACCCTTAATACTTCCAAATGGTGAGATTAAAATGTGACGGTCGCCCATTAAAACATTGCGTTTATCTTCAAGGGAGATGTCGGTTTAAGTACAGCAATACTCTTATATAATCGCACAACTTTAACTATCTGTGATAAACGCTGCACTTTCCCTCGTTTTCATGCAGGGGGCGCTGCAAACCCACGCGCCCCCTGCATGAACGACGGAGGCGCAGGGACAGAAGTTCGATTACGTTGGAATCGATCTGCAGACGGCGGTCTTCTCGCACGGCCAGCAGCTCTATGCCGCCTTATCTCGATCCCGCAATCCCAAACAGGTGAAAGTCCGCATCGAACCGAACCCCCAGCAAGGCCATCTACTCAACGACGAGAGAAAATTCACACGAAATCTCGTTTTCAATTAAGTCTTCCAGATGTAAAATGATATAAGCTTTTAATGAAGAAATAAAATGATCCAATTAAAAACAGAATACAATTCAAAGATGTTTCATTGAAAAACTTCAAAACGGAGCATCGGGTGCTTGCGCCGTTTGTGTGCAATTTTTTGCACACAAACAACGAAGGCCAGGAAAGTCACAAAAGTCAAAACCCCTAGTATATATTATATTTGTGAAAGCAATACTTCAATTATACATCGTACTTGTATTAACATATATTTGTAACGTACTTTACCAGTATTTTGACCTTTTCAATGTGCAATGTGTCATTGCCTCCTTTTGCCTCACCTCTTGAATGCGTAGGAAGAAGCCGACAAAGAAATAGCAGCGTTGCCACGTGACAGCTGCCCTGTGCGCATCCATAACCGCTGTGTGATGACATCGCGGCCACGGGGAGTGAAGCGAAGGTGGCGTTTGAGCCGCATCGTATTCCGAGACCTCGCGGATCATGGCCAAATGTCAGGCATCCAGCGAGCCATTTGGTGACCAGCAGAGGATATAACGGATGTAATCATTACTATGGCCTTTTGCAGTCTTGCAATTTGAGGTTTGTCAAACTTTTGTTTGTACATTGCACCTTTTCAATAAGGCATCACCCAATCTCTAGGGAATGTTAACTTGACTTAAGATGCTCGTTATAGAAGGACGTTTAAATGTTAAACAATCTCACATGCAATTGTCTGCATTGTTACATTTTAATGTTTAAGTGTCAGAATATCTTCATGTAAAATTATGTAATAGAAGACTGGAGATCATCCTTAGTTGACTGTGATAAAAAAAAATCTTTCATTTGGAATGTAATGCCATTGTGAAAAAATGAGTGTGACGGTACAAATAAAAATGTATGATACTTGTACAAGAAGACAATGCAAATGAGGGTTTTTGTAAACTTTATTTTTAGATCACATTTTAGTGAATTTATGGGAAGGACATTCTTTGCTAAATAAATAAAACATTACAGTATTTTGACTCTCCTGTATTTTAACACCGTAGAAATATAATACAATAAGAACTAAAAACACATTCAACAAAGCACTACACCATAAAGTTTCACTAATATGACGAGAAATGGTGTTTGGAATGTGTCTAATCTGCTTGATAAGCAGCAATGTTATTGTCCAAATATAGGACTGAAAAGTAGTTGGTATTCCAGGGATTGAGAACTTTAAAAAATCTGATGTAAAGTATTCAAATAGACAACAGCAACAATATGCATAATTTACAAGATAGAATTTGCAAATTAGAAAAAAACTATGTCCAACCTGGTTGGGTTTCTGCAAATGCTACTTTCCACATTCAAAGCATGAAAGTGCAATTGACCTTTCTGTAAAGGTGTTAAGAATTGTGAATCTGTAGTCAGGTAATTATAACATGGTATAAAGCAGACTTCCTGGCCACATACTAAATATGTTCTTATAAGACTACCACAATTAATTGAAAATTGAACAAGACGCTGGATTTCTAGCATCACCAAAGGGCAGTAATATTTGACTGAGGTACAGTATTGAAAACTACTGTCAAGGTCTTAGATTAAAATGCAGCAGAAACAGAAAATTATTCGAATTCATACCGAATTGGTAACTGAATAAACTGAATTGCCTATTTCTGAGCGGTATGAACTTTTGCAGGCCCAATGAATTTTCACTAGTGCAGGATATCAATGCTTATTAATGATCATAATTCAAAATTGGTATTGATTGCTACTTACTACTTTAGCTTGAGAATGGAATGAACATTACATATTCATTTCTAACAAGCTTATAAATCAGTGTTTGTGTCATGTAAACAGCCCTTTTGACAGTAATGCACTTCAATTTCAAATTAACAAGGCCATGTTAGGTTTGCAACATGAAAAAACACATGCTAAACATTTTACAAAAAAGTTCACATTTTAAAGTATATCACCACAATACATCTCTAACTATAATATAAATACACATTTAACATTTTATTTGGCCTAAAGAAAACGTGAACAAACTCGTGATTTAAAAAAGGAATCATGAAGCAACTTTACTGTATTGCTTTTTATCTACTTTTTTATCTTGCTGTGGTTTAAATAGTGCTTTAAAAAAATACTCCACCTTATTAACCAAAGCAATTTCCAATCACTATACATTTTATACCATCTTAATTGCACTTTGCAGCACAAACAGGACAATACCGCTGCCAGTTTGTAATTTCTTCTCATCACAATAAGGTCCCACTTAACCAGGATACAGATTATCTATATGCCACTTGTAATTTTTGTGAGCGTATTTTCTTGTGTCCGACTGCTGTTGCCTATGTGGTAGTGTGTAAATTGTCATGCCCAGCCCAGCGTCTGTTTGGCCAGATAGAGGGCGCCAAATGGGCGCAGCACAAGCTGGAGGAGAGATGCGTTACAACATGTGGAGGTGATTTTACTTGGACTTGCCGACGACTGGTCCTAGCGGTGTCAAACTTTGCCTCTTTGGAGGAGGCTCGTGAAGGATGCTACTGGGTCGTTGGCGAGGCAGTCGCCCTCCAACAACGGAGGGCAGACGAACGATGTTCATGACGAGCGGAGAACCGGGTGGTTAAAACAGCAGACTTGTACGTCGGGGAGCACAGATGGTATCTGCCAGTCATCTTAACTCAACACCTGGGTCTTCCCCATGACCTGCTAACGAGCCTTCCACGCTTAATGTGGCCTCAAAGCGCACCTAGCCTGGCACCTGCACCGTCGTAATGCCATCACCACTTCGTGGCAAATGGCAGCTTCTGTTTTGTGAGAGCAGTGGTGCAGTGGTCTATGCACTGGCCCATGAACTGAGCAACCTGAGATTGATTCCCAGCCATAGCTAACAAACGTGGCAAGTACAGCAATATCTGAATGGTCCTACCCACATTAACCAGTGTGGTGAATTATAGTAAAAACACAACATACATGGCATGATGGAGAGGGCTTCTCGTCTGGATAAGACTAAATTATTAACGCATGTACTGTACATAAATGTACTATAGCGTTAAATACTCCACAAATATTCTGTACCACTAAATAGTACAGTACATTTAGGACAGTTGAATTATTTTCCGATTACATCACACATTTAGCCAAACTTGCAAACCCATAAGTGGCAAAACATGCACTGTACTGTGTATACAGTGCCTACATTTCTGTATACATGTGATAAATCAGAACGGGTTATATAAAGCAAACACCAAACCGACTTCAGTATACCGTATAGTGCTCTCATTGGGCAACCTCAATAATATACATTTTGCATACAGTACATCATTTATGCTGATGCATTGGGGTATTTTTTTAAGTCTAGAATATTAAAAGCCAGTTCACAACCACCGTTATATATACTGGACATGTATGCAGGATATGTACATTTATTTATACATACATGTGACAATACTGCCTTTGAATTTGAAGGAAATGTCCATTAGTAACAGAATAAAATATTTAATATCGTAATCCGTTTTATTATTTATATTCGTACTAATTATGGTCAATGTGAAATGTTATTCTTTATACTGTAGTGCAGTATTCTTCAAAATACGAGAAACATAGCAGCATACTGTAGTTTTATAACGCCATCAAAAAGTACAATTGGATGTTTATGTAATCCAGGCTTTGTAACACAGTAATGAATACAGCTAAATGATATGATTAACCAACAACTGCTGGTGATGTTGCGCCTCAAACAAATATCTGGACTGCCAGTCTAAGAAACTCGTTCATATGTTTAATTGGCACATCTCAAAAAATAAGTATGAATACTAATTTACATGTGCGTCACAATACAGCATCGCCGGTTAGTGTAGAATGTGGTTTTATCCTAAAAATATTTGAATCTTAACATTAAAAAATGTACAACGAATATATATTACAACAGAACACATTGGGGACAAAATAATATAAAAATAACTACATCTTTCTAGAAATCACAAACATGGTTGCAATTTTCAGAAACATTTTGAATGGAAGGTCATATTTATGGATACACATTGAAATCAAAAGGAAATCATTCTTATTCCTAAATAAAACTTCTGAAATTCCCTGCCTGACAAATCCGTGGCATGTCACACTGGCTCAACAGGCTCCACAACAATGATTGTGCACCATTTAAATATAACGTCCTTCACTCACACAAAATACATATCGACACAAACAAAAACATGGCAATATATAAAACTCAAGGTCCATCAAGTGGTGTGTTCGCCTGAGCCTGGCTGTCCTGGCCACATATTGTGGAGTGGCGAGTGAAGCTGTCTCTCCACATGAATTTCTTGCCACAACACAGGCAGCTGAAGGGCCGATACCCAGTGTGGGTCTTCATGTGCCCACTCAGGTGGTGCTTCATCTTGAAGCTCTTACCGCAGATACTGCAGGAGTATGGCCGCAGCCCCAGGTGCATGCTCATGTGGCGGTCGCGCTGGCTCCTGTGCGTGAAGCCCTTACCGCACTGGCACTGGTAGAGCTTGCAAGCCGATCCTGCTTGCTCAGGCCTTGCCTCTGCTTCGCCTCCGCCCTGCTGGTAGCTGTCGGCGGCCGATGCACCTTCTGTCACCGTCGACTGGCTCTCTCCATGCGCTTTCATTCGGACCTCTGTGTCATATATGTGGGAACTGACACCGTAGTAGTCCTTCTGCAAGAGTAAGGCATATCACGCGTACAATAGCACTTCGGAGCTAGAATGTGGATTTACGAATACATTTTGGATGTAAAATATCGGATGTAAATTTTATGAACGTGTGCACTTTGCTCGTGAACTGGGTTTTGCCTACCAAGTGACCATGATATGAGGCCCTCTCGAGCTGTTCATCAAATTCTTCGTGGGAGCCCGGTGCCGGCTCTGTGAATGGATCCTCCACTTCAGAAGAGCGTAGAAGGTGTTCAACGACACCATCTTCAGAAAAGCAGTTCTCGTCGTGGAGATTTGCATCATTAACATACGGGCTGCCCAATTTGTGTTCGATTTTTTCTGTTTTCACCTGAAATCCACAATTTTTCGTCAATGAAATGTATAAGATGTCAAAGATTCACAAGGTGGTGAGGAAATAAGTCTCCTAATGATGCAATGAAATATTAAGAGTTACCTGCACCCACTGTCGCTGTGGAATAATACTGGTTGGGATGTGTGGAGGCCTTCCTTGCACTTCACCGAAATCTGTACGGACCTCCTCCAGCTCCTCCTGGAATGGATACTCAGTGCTCTCTTGTCCCACAGAGGAGTTGCTGGAAATATTTTCTGCCTCATTGCTCAGAGACATTTCACACTCCTTACTCTCATTCTCCTCATTGGCATAGTTCGTTTCTTGTTCCCCATTCCCCACTGTAAAGCCAAAGGGACATAATGATGCATCTAAAATAAGAGTACCCGTTATAACTTTTCTATCTACTTTATGTCTTTAAAACGTTTAAAAAACCCAAACATTCAATGTAGCCTACTTTACAACTTTAAACTATGCTTAAACATAGGCACTTAGACGTTATACAGACACCTTCCACACTTCCTCATTTAGTTAAGCCTGTTCACATGTCAAATTAATATTTTCACACAACTACACTGGTCGACACCAGGGTTGCATATTTTATAACATTGTTCATGAGTCATGTTCAAACACATGTGCAGGTCTAACGGTAATACGACACCTCAGACACAAATAGCGAAATAAAATGTTACCTTATGACTCAGAAGACAAATCAACATGTTACTGCGTGTCCCATCGTGGTGTCGCAACAAGGTGTGAATGTAAAGGGTGGCCAGACTTAATGGGTGAACTGAGCAAACCAAGCAAGTATGCTGAGTGGAGGTGGCCATGTGGTTTAGAGGTCAGCACTGAGCCAGCACTACCAAGATCCTGGGATCGAAACAAAACAGCTGTCTGTAATTAAAACCAGGTTGTCAAGTGTAGAGAGTTGATAGTCTCAGCCCCACCACCAATGACTATACAAAAAAACCCACATTCCCAGTGTCACAGTAGACAGGGAAGTGCTACCCCTATTATGTAGAACAGACATCACTTGAAAGGATCTTAGAGATATAACTGTGGTATCCACTTAAGTGGGTCGTTCTTTACATGAAGGGTTGCACTGCTGTGACATTCCAATGGATACTTCGTATCATGATGCGATGCCAACAGCACAATTGTGACAGGGAAAATATTCAAGGGCAGTATCGTTGAGTGTAAACTGTAATTTCTTACCGGCTGCAGAATGCACCTCTGGATTCTCAGGTGCACCAATAAAGTTGCTACTACTGGGAGACTGCTCCACACTACTACGCTGTCCCTTGCGCCGGTTTGAAGAGGAGGAGGTAGAGGCAGGTCGATGCGTCGCGCGCGCCATGTTCAGTAGCTCCGTGCATCTGTCGACCAGGTGCCACATCTGCAGAAAGCTGGCGATGGTGAGGCAGGCCACCATGTCGTCTGGGTGGAGGCTCAGGCGGCCTGTATAACAGGATGTCAGCACCCCTTCAAAGGCCCGTGCACTCATGACATCTGGCAGTACGATGCGACTGCAGCTTTTTAGTAGCACCTGACAAAAAAAGTGTCACCACACATGCACGGCCCTTTGTCAATCCTCTGCTGGATGAAGATTCCCCACCCTATTCAGTATGTGGGGGTTATTTGACATACTTCACTATACATGTGAAAGCATAGAACTCTTGTTTGTCTGTGGTAAATGGGGGCATGGGTACCCCCGGTTCTCAATACACTAATTTATCTGGCTGGGCGTGACCATGGATAACCCCGAATGATGAGAAGAATTTGCCAAATAAATCCGTTTAGCCGTGGTCCTTATACGATGGATTTTTGGAAGATCCCCACCTACTTGTGACACGTAACAAAATATCAGGCAGGCAAGGGAGTGGGGACCCTCGAGGGCGTTGTGACGAAAATTACGTCACAGAACGAGGTCGCAGTCATCAGGATATTTGGAAGAATTCTCCGTATAATTCCGTTTCACCATTGTCTGGACCTCAGAAATTTGGATGACCACAATCATCAGATATTTGGAAGTGAGAAACCGCGTTTTTCTGACCCTGGATAAATAAATTCACGGACAATCAGGTCACATATAAATGGAGTTTGACTGTACCATACAACCATGGATTTTGCTACATTGGCCTCTGCTGCCAATAATGTAGCCCTGCAAGGTGGTGGCCCATCCAAGCACTGCCCAGGCTAAACTCTGCTTGATTTTCGAGATTTGGCCCGTTGCTAATTAAAATGTCAAACTAATTTATTTCGAACTGCTTTTTGTTTAATTTGCTGTCCTTCCCCCGCACCTCTGATTATCATGTGAAAGAAGTTCAACGTACATACATACGTCATGGGTCATCACAAAGCCGCTCGCAAATTCTGGTGTACTTCCAGTTTACTTAATTGGATAAGAAATTATAAATGTACGTTTAGATTGCTGAACACAAGCCAAAAAACGTATGCAAAGCAGCAATCAACTTAGCGCTAATGCTCGTATAGCAAATAAGAGCAGGCACATTTCTTGAATTGGCCATGGTTACGTAAAATTGAGAAAATATACAATGGGAATTTCAAAGTTGAACAATGTGACGAAAGGTGAAAGAGATATGTTTTTCCTTGAACACAGGATCGATGGAAATATAATTATTTGACACCGGTGGAGCTATTAAGGTGTGAAGTTCATAGCTCAGGATGAAACACTATGGGGATATGTTCAACGCTTTCATCAATATATCGTTGGATGAGGTCTTCCTCATGCTAAACAGGTCATTAACCATACTTCATCATGCTGGTCAAAGCAAGTTTGTGATAATGGATTTTGCTGCACCGCCAACCACTGACAATGTAGCAGAGGAGCAGTCGCAGTCTATAGAGATTTTATTATGCATATTGGCTGCCTATTCATTCACTATTCAGGCTCAATCCAGCTTAGATTCCAATCTCGGACAGGTGTATTCCAGGTGATTTGTTCCAGAGACAGATCTAGAAACTTCCCAAATTGGTTGAGGACGGTGGTCGCAGAATCTATCTCTTTTTAAAATCGGGCCCTGCATAAAAAAAGAGTCTTCCATGGTAAATAATTAAATACCAATTTTTGAGGTCTTAAGGGGAGGAGAGGGGTCATCCCCATCCCCCACCCCCTTACCCCAAACTCAGATCCAGATTCACCACCCGCTCGTTCGCGAGGCACAAATCTACCCCAACGCGATGCAAACTTCCACTCCACCTGATCACAGAAGTAGGGCGAGCTCGCGGCGAGCACGGCGCGGTGAGCTCGGAATGTGCGACCCTGCACGCCCACGGTGAGGTCGCACAGCTGGCCCTCGAGCCGCTGCTGGTTGAGGCGGTGCACCACGGCCTCGCTGAAGTGTGGAAAGTCGACGAGGATCGTTCTGCTGTCCGGGGCCATCGTAGCACCATCCAGCACGCCCCGGTCATAGGCGCTTCCCTGCAGCAACAGAATTGAGAAGTGGAACGCAAACCCTCCTCCCCCACCACCACCACCAGCCCAGCACCGTGGGAAACAATGCAATTATAGGCGTCAGCCGAGTGGCTTAAATGGCATATAACTCAGATTATACATTTGTTTACATATCTACGTGTTAAACAATACAGTAAGGGTACTTGCTGCTGCATTTGGTGATTAAATAATGTACACATTAGGTGCGTTAAATAAAAAAAGGAATACCAACTGCATTTATTTGCAATAATCTGCAGGTAATCAAAATGCGAATTAGCCAGCTGCAGGAGTGTTAATGTCGCTGTGATGGTATTTCTGGAAGTATTTTAATTAGGCACTGGTTGACAACCGTGTCTGTTAAAGTGTCATCACCCTCTAATATGAAATGTACGTCCCCACTGTGAGTTACGATGATCAATTTGTGCACTTTGTGACTGCACCGAATACAGTGATCTAACGAGCAGACCGATGGCTTTCGCAGTGCTCCATACACCTGTTGTGTACTACAATGCGTGTGTCTCATTGCCTAATTTGTTTACGAATTGAGGTCAATCGCTGCAGTAGCGGCCCAGCCGTAGACGCGAAAGCAGTAAGCTCCATTCAATTAACACGTCATTTGGTGCAAACGAAACGAGTCCGCGAGCGGATAAAATCGTTTAAACGACTAAGCACGTGCGAAACATTCGCGCTTATCAAAATAAACACGCCGATTGCGCTAAATGGGCCAATTAACTCTGCCCAAAAGGCGCGAATAATGGAACCCTGGGCGCTCTGCACTGTAACTGCACGGGGAAATGTCGCAAAAAAAAGGGGCCCGCGTGTGGGGAATTTCGCGCATTACAATACGGACAGCAAACAGCATCGCGTTTAAACACACAGGGAACGACGTCGACGTCGCGCTTGTTACATCGCTTGCTATATATCGGCGCAATTGCTCGACCCGCGCGGTGTGCGTTCGACTCGGCGCGTTTTGCGCCACAAGGCAACCCTGCCACAAATCGTCGGCACTGCCCCACTGTATTTTGGCACGGGTCAATTTTATAAACCGCGCGTCCACTCACTTCAATAGCCACGCCAGGGTTTTACGTCAATCTCTAAAGCGCGCGAACAGCCGCCTCAAGCGTCACGCGTTGCTATCGCCACCGGAGCCACCCTAACATTTCACCGCGGCGTTTAACTAACGTGTCGACTATCCCCACCACTGCCTCTGCCGCCGCCGCCGACGCCGCTCTAGCTCAGGCCGCAACCACCACCGCCGTTCGCCGCCTAGCAACGGCCTCTGACCGAACAGCCGTTTGCAATTCCCCAGTTCGGATAGGGCACCCCCTCCCCCCACCTCCACCGCGGATCGCCACTGCGCCCAATCGCGTTGTCGCATGCAAATTGCTTTCGCGCTCCGGCGGGGGCGGGGGGAGGGGTGGGGAGGGCGCGGGGCCAATCGGCGCACGAGGCGGGCACGGGGGGGGGGGGGGGGAGACGCCGGGCGCTTATGTGCAGTAGGGTTTTGTGTTAAATCCTAACGCCCACCCCCCGGCGCGGGGGAATGTAAACATTGGTGACGTCACGGGCCTTGGCCATATTCGTTCTCGTACCGGATTATAAGACGCACGCCAAAACGTTATTTATATATTTTTTATTTTATTGTTTCCCTTCTACGTGACTTTACCGAAAGAACCAAGAATATTTATTTATTTTGTTGCTGCCCCGGCGTTAAAAAAAATTCCCCGAAGAAATAAAAAAATCTGGTCCAACACTAAAACTCTGGTAACAGGTTTATAAGGCGCGCCCACATTTAATTAAGGCAGAACAAGGCATGCATGTACTGTACACGCTTTTCCTGATGCTTTCCAATGAAGGAATGCAGAGAGCAACATTTGGCGATTTACTTCGGACCGATTTATTGGACGCTGACCCGTCCCTACTGGACATATGTGAGAAAGAGCTTTATAGCTCATCGGATTCCTCCAGTATAAATAAATATTCTGATTCTGAGACGTCCAATTGCTTTGAGCTTTGGCTGAATTGCAGATACAGTGAGGGAAAAAAAGTATTTGATCCCCTGCTGATTTTGTACGTTTGCCCACTGACAACGGAATCATCAGTCTGTAATTTTAATGGTAGGTTTATTTGAACATTGAGAGACAGAATAACATGCAGAAAAACGCATGTCAATAATGTTATAAATTGATTTGCATTTTAATGAGGGAAATAAGTATTTGACCCCCTCTCAATTAGAACGATTTCTGGCTCCCAGGTGTCTTTTATACAGGTAACGAGCTGAGATTAGGAGCACAGTCGTAAAGGGAGTGGCTCCTAATCTCAGCTTGTTACCTGTATAAAAGGCACCTGTCCACAGAAGCAATCAATCAGATTCCAAACTCTCCACCATGGCCAAGACCAAAGAGCTCTCCAAGGATGTCAGGGACAAGATTGTAGACCTACACAAGACTGGAATGGGCTACAAGACAATTGCCAAGCAGCTTGGTGAGAAGGTGACAACAGTTGGTGCGATTATTCGCAAATAGAAGAAACACAAAAGAACTGTCAATCTCCCTCGGCCTGGGGCTCCATGCAAGATCTCACCGCGTGGAGTTGCAATGATCATGAGAACGGTGAGGAATCAGCCCAGAACTACACGGGAGGATCTTGTCAATGATCTCAAGGCAGCTAGGACCATAGTCACCAAGAAAACATTTGGTAACACACTACGCCGTGAAGGACTGAAATCCTGCAGCACCCGCAAGGTCCCCCTGCTCAAGAAAGCACATACATGCCCGTCTGAAGTTTGCCAATGAACATCTGAATGATTCAGAGGACAACTGGGTGAAAGTGTTGTGGTCAGATGAGATCAAAATGGAGCTCTTTAGCATCAACTCAACTCGCCGTGTTTGGAGGAGGAGGAATGCTGCCTATGACCCCAAGAACACCATCCCCACCGTCAAACATGGTGGTGGAAACATTATGCTTTGGGAGTGTTTTTCTGCTAAGGGGACAGGACAACTTCACCGCATCAAAGGGACGATGGACGGGGCCATGTACCGTTAAATCTTGGGTGAGAACCTCCTTCCCTCAGCCAGGGCATTGAAAATGGGTCGTGGATGTATGCTGTCTGAAAGCCACTGTAAGCGTGAACAATCAATTAAGACCTGAAATGGTTAATCATATCTAGCAATCATTGGAAAGATTTGATAAACCATTTCAGGTCTTAATTGATTGTTCACGCTTACAGTGGCTTTCAGACAGCATACATTAATTTTCCGTCTCCCCCCTCCTCTTTTCAGAACATAGATGGACTCGTCCTTCTAAATAAACTGCCAAATCGCTGCGCGTGGCGCTGACGTTTTTTTATAAATAAATACACCGTTTAAAAATAAATAAATTTATGCAAACCGACACACCTGATGACGACCGTTTGTGTTATGGTCGAAACGTCGTGAGAATTTTTATTGCTTTATATATTTTTTATTATTTTATTGTTTCCCTTCAACGTGACTTTACCGAAAGAGCTAAGAATATGATTTACTGTACATGTTAAGAAACACACTTTTGAAAAAAAAAAACAGCAATGTGTGCTTAATAGAATCAACTTTATTATTATTCTTGCAAGCAAAATAAAAACAATCATGTTAAATGAGCTGTAATTTTCTCATCCTTGTTCCGCAAGTGTAGTATTTTCAAAAATCATTTAACAAAAAGTCATATACTGTACTTGTTGTATGACATCGTTTGATGTAAAAGCAAAGCACTCATCATTGGAATAAAAGAGATAGAAAAAAAGCAATCAAAATAATAATCTGTATACAAAAAATCAACATGTAAATACGGTGTTGTATTTTGTGTTGCATTCGGTAAAAGCGTGCAGGAGAAATCTGAAATTGCTACCGAGTGAGTCAAAGGTATCGGTGGGTCCCACCTGTGGTGGCAAATGATTGGAGCATCATCCACTGTCGGCAGGAACCCTCGGGTGCGAGGGTTGATCAAGAAAAGTACTGGGACTACTTTTACTTAGACAAAACTAGTCATTTGGTGCCAAATCTGGTTAATTTGGTGGGCGAGGAACCAGGTGATGAGACTTGGTATTTTTATTGGAGGACAATCGTAGTCACCTCGACCAAAGACAGGTGCGCTCGAATGTGAAGACGATATCGATTGTATTTTTTGACGGTGAAGGTGTGTTCGTTCCACAAGGTCAGACAGTGAATCGTTTGTTTTATTTGGCCGTTCTGAAACGCCCCATGAGATGCAGATCGGCGGAAACGGCATGAAAAATGGGAGTTGGGTGTGCGGATCTTGCATCACGTTAACGCACCGTCACAATTCAGCACTGTCCATACAAGGATTTCTGGCTAAGGAAAACATTCCGCTGGTTCCTTGCCCTACATATTCACCAGATTTGGAAACAAATGACTTATTTTTTCTGTTCCTCTAGATTGAAACGCACCCAAAAGGAAAGACATGTCAGGATGTGCCAACCGTAATCCAAAATGCAACTCGAGACCTGAAAGTCTTCATGAAAGATGCCTCGACAAATGGCATGACCGCTGGAATCACTGTGTTCCATCAGGAGGAGACTACTTTGAAGGAGATGCATTTGATTAAGCATGTCGTCCTTTAGTTTTGTCTACATTCCGTCGATGTTGCATATCATTTTTTTCCCTCGCAAATTTATATTTTCGATTAAACATACTCCACACTGCACTCTCATTGATGATATTTTTCTCATAAAAAAGCTACCAGGATAGCCTTGCTATCATTTGTGATCTATAGATAAAATACTTGAATAAAATAATTGTAAGCATTTGCCGGCCGAGGTGGTACCAATAAAGAGGTTTGATCACGTGGCTCAAGTACCAAGGGTCGTTGAGCATGCCTATTTGAGCCACCTTACAATACAATTTTGAAATACATAATTGCTTTTGAGGAAGTTTGAGTGTGTTATGCCTGGAACAACGCACTTTGTGATCTTGCCAGTTTCACTCAGTGAGCATAAGCCAAAGGTATCCTTCGTGTAGACCTGTAGGGTACGTACAGCACAAATGTAATGACAGTAACAATAAAAACTGTAGAGTTAAGAGAAAGGCAGCGAAGACATTCTGTTAGAATCTACTAGCAGCCCACACATTCTTTGGAGATTACCATTCAGACCTCCAGCGGCATATCAACGTCATTTCATATGTTGAAGCATCGATTCAGCAGTGCTACCCTGTTGCTTAACAGAACGAGCAAGGGAATGCATGCCACAAAGCTACTTCTGAAATGCCATTAAGTGAACTGGTCCACCACACACTTTCCACTCGCTCTGCCAATTAGAGTTTGTTACGTGACAGTCGTACCGACATTTTGGCATTCCCAAAGCTATAAATTAGCCAAATTAAATTCAAAGTGTTGGTTTATTTATGTTGTTATTTACGATATTGTTCTTACTTTGCTTTATGTAAAGAACTGGCTGTACTACCCGGCGTCGCCCGGGACTTGGATTCACCACGCCCGGCCGCCTTTGTCCCCCCAGTGGCGATGTTGACACACCACACCAGTTACTCGTTTGAGGCTGAGTCGACCTAGGGGAGGCCCAGGACCGGTTCAAATAATCATCACCGGTGGTGGCCGTGAGCGGGAATCGAACTCGGGTCGCCGGGTTCGTAGCGCAGCGCGCTAACCGCTACACTACAATGCGTTACGCTTCCACATGCGAGGGTCACGTGACAGATTTGACGTCACAGCTCACTTGCCGTGCAAAATAAATAAATGCATTATTGAGCTCCCCCCCCCCCCAAAAAAAACAAAAGTGTATTTTTATCATTGTTGCATGGTGTACAGTCTGGAAAGTACCCGCATGACAAATCTCCAGTTTGTTGCATGTCGGGAAGTACGCTAAACATTTTGAACAGACACATTCACAACTTTGCCTTAAATTTTGATTTAAGGCTTTCGTGACTGCAGGGAGTCATATTCTTGGTTCTTTCGGTAAAGTCACGTAGAAGGGAAACAATAAAATAATAAAAATATAATACAATACAATTCTCACGACGTTTCGACTGCAACACAAGCAATCATCATCAGGTGTGAAAACCACAGCAAGAACATTTGAAAAAGTGGCGTCCATCTGAACAAACTGTCAAATCGCTCTCCAGTGGTGCTAACGTTAAAAAATAACCGCCACTTTTTTCAAATATTCTTGCTGTGGTTTTCACACCTGATGATGATTGCTTGTGTTCCAGTCGAAACAGCGTGAGAATTTTATTCTTTTAATTTTTTTATTATTTTTTTGTTTTCCTTCTACGTGACTTTACCGAAAGAACCAAGAATATAACTTTGTCTTCTTTGGTTCTTTCGGTAAAGTCACGTAGAATGACAATAAAATAATAAATTGATAAAATAAAATAACACAATAATATTCTCACGACGTTTCGGCCACAACACAAGCGGCCTTCATCAGGTGAAGGGGGCGAGACTGTCTGGTAGGACAGCGCTGGAGTGAAAGAGCCACGTTCAGATACGGCCTTTAAGCTGTGTGAGAGGAACAAAGCGCCTTGACAAAGGAATTAGCATATAATTTAGCATTGAAATGGCTGAATGATTAGCTTGTGACTGGTCACAGAAATAGCTATGTTAAAAGTTAAAGCATACACACCCGCAGAGGCACCCATTGTTAAAGGAATTAGCATAGAATTTAGCATTGAAATAGCTAAGTTAAGGCATACACATCTTGACAATGGAATTAGCATAGAATTTAGCATTGAGATAGCTGAGTGATTAGCTTGTACCTGCTGCAGAAATAGAGCTTGTACCTGCTGCAGAAATCACTCAGTTGTTTCAATGCTGGATTCGCCTAGTTATTTCAATGCTAAATTCTCCTGTTTGATTTGTACTAAGGGCCTCGGTGAATGTGTATGCTCTGACTTTAACGTAGCTATTTCTGCAGCAGGTACAAGCTCTATTTCTGCAGCAGGTACAAGCTAATCACTCAGCTATCTCAATGCTAAATTCTATGCTAATTCCATTGTCAAGATGTGTATGCCTTAACTTAGCTATTTCAATGCTAAATTCTATGCTAATTCCTTTAACAATGGGTGCCTCTGCGGGTGTGTATGCTTTAACTTTTAACATAGCTATTTCTGTGACCAGTCACAAGCTAATCATTCAGCCATTTCAATGCTAAATTATATGCTAATTCCTTTGTCAAGGCGCTTTGTTCCTCTCACACAGCTTAAAGGCCGTATCTGAACGTGGCTCTTTCACTCCAGCGCTGTCCTACCAGACAGTCTCGCCCCCTTCACCTGATGAAGGCCGCTTGTGTTGTGGCCGAAACGTCGTGAGAATATTATTGTGTTATTTTATTTTATCAATTTATTATTTTATTGTCATTCTACGTGACTTTACCGAAAGAACCAAAGAAGATGAATCATTGCAGTCACGAAAGCTTTAAATCGAAATATAACTTTGCCTAATATATATTTGCCTTATATATGTGGAGATGTAATGTATTGTCAAGTATACAAATGGCATACCTCCTGATTCCTCATATGCAAGATGTTCATTTTCTTGTCATAGGTCTCAAATAGGCTGTGAATGTGAAATATAAAACAAGTTCAATTGGCAATTAATTCTACACTAAAGTACAATATAAATATACAAAATGATTCCTACTATATAACTAAACTGCACTCGTGCAAAATAAATGGTCAGCAATCAAATATTGTATTCATGGCTTCCATATTCATACATAAACTATGTAGAACTTGTTGGAAGGAGAGTGGGATATTCAAGCGGCCGTGTGGCCAGGTGTACAAAGGGGAGAGTTAGTGTGAAAGTGATAAAGTATGTATCTTGAACTTTTTTCGCACCATACGTAGCCAACCGTGTTTATCAGAAGGTTCGAAAAAAGTGATGTTACGTGGAGTTGCATATTTAGTGGTATGAATCACAATGATAACGGTGATACACGTTTATCATTTACTGACTATGTTGAAAGAGAAGTCTTCGAGTCGTCCGTGAGCATTGTAGTGGACATATATCCTTATTTGTGCGAAAATAACCTTAAGCTTTGTTACCAATATTTTACGATACTGCGCTCACCTCGACTGCCAAGGGTTTAACACACCATCAGCAGGAATTCCAATGAGCACCAGGTTGTTGATGCGCAGAAAATTCCTTTTCCAAACTGAAAAGATTCAGAGTTTTGAGAAATAAATGCCAGTGGAAAATTAGTACCGTATTTAATTTGGCTGATTGACGTATTACTACTATAATGAGCCAAGGATATCTATTTGTGTGTAACGCACGCGACGTCACTCCACATGTAGCACACCCCTTCATTAAAAATCATGAGCAGGTGACGTCACTCCACATCGAACAGCCCCCCTCACTAATAAGTATTATAAGGTGACGTCTTCCAAATGGACACCCCCCCCTCAATTAATAATAATTAGCTGCTGACGTCACTCCACATGGGGGGGGGGGGGCGAGGCGCCTCCTCCCCCCTCCTCGGCGTCAACTGACAACCCTCACTACAAAGGCAGAACCCTCACGTCACGTGACCTCCGTGACGCTGTTGTTGAGACATCAAAGTAAAAAGGACGTCGTGATGAACAAGGGATTATAACATTTAAATGAAATAGGTCTGTGTCACCGCGCCCTTATGAATTGCACACGAATTGATGCAATTAATATGTCACGTCGCGGTCTGATTCTCGCTTGCAAGTTTCAGATTTACTGCAATACACCCAGTCCTTGGATGGGCAAAAAGCGCGTAATATAATATTTGGCCTGAGGCACTGTTTCATAATTTTTCCGGCGTTTTAACATTTTTAAGAGCATGCATACCATTGGCATATTGGTTGTATATTTGACTGTTGAGAAGAGGCAGGAATTTGTTGTACTTTTTATATTGCACATGATGGATAGGATCTGAAACAATGTTGAATTAGTGTTAGACAATAAAAGAAAACATTTAAAACTTTTACAAGGATAATGCATTTTTACAACCTGCTATTAAAAATATAAACTGCATTATATGACTGTACTGTAATATTTTTTGAATTACACTTGAATAACCAGGGACGCCTGAGTATCAACACTCTTTTTCAGCAGGTTTCTGACAAGAAGCATGGTGCGATTTTTGCAATGTATAATCCTGAAATGTGGAAATTTCAGGTATTTTTTTTGCAATCGGAGTAAATCGGTCAACACAGAGGAAACCAACGCAAAACGGAAATAGAACATATTAACTCCACACACAAGGGAGCCCCAGTCGGAAATCGACCCATGGCCCTTGTTGTTGTTGTGAGGCACAAGTGTTACCACTGCGTCACCCTGCTGCACAAATTTAGTACGTGGAGCCCTTTTGTCAATCCACTGCTGGATAATGGCATCCCCACACCGTGTGGGTCTCCACAGCTATTTGACCATACTTTACTACACTGGTCAGTTAGAGTTCGAAAGAGCAGTAGTTTGGACTGGTTTTGATATCACTTGCCAGTGATGTTCCGTGGCCAGGTTCACATCACAGTGCGCTAACCACTGCGCCACTGCCCCACCCCTGTAATAAATGACCATACTTGATATTCTTAACCTTAAGGCCAAACTACTTTCACTGATAAACCTACATTCATGCAGGCACATACCATTCCAGTAGTTGCATAGCGACAGTTTTTGGCCGAATCTGTTGTAGCAGAATTTGTAGACCTTTGACCTTCGCAAAGGCAAGATCTTCCTGACAACAGATGGAACTACACAAAACATTGCATCAAAAAGTGAAGTTAAGACTAACGTTTAAATTGAAACTGTTACACAAACACATTTCAATCAGAAGTAAAACAAATAAATGATTTTGAACTTTGAAATGGCACCGTACCTCCGTATTCGCCCATCTGTGGGGAAGCTAACGAAATGAAGGCATCCACATTGTGATGCGGCGATAAATACAATGCTGCACGGCAGAGCAGGCCACCTGGTGGAAGAGGCGATGGCAAAACGTGCATTGGTTACAGTCTCCGGGATGCTGTTGAAGTGGAGTTCATGGGCTGGAACACGAAGACCTGCAATCCAGCGGCCACCGGTTCATTCTCCCAGCATGGGCGAATTTCTTAATCCCACCCAACCTGCCCACCACCTTTGTCCATCCAACAGTGTACAAGTATATGGGTTCACCGCGGTGAGTCGATCTTCCGGTCGCGCGTGGGTGATCTCAGATCTCCCAACGTGTTGAGCCAGTGTGGAGCAGTAGGCCAAACACCCTCTAGAGCAGTGGTTCTTAACCTGGGGTGTATGCAACCCCTGGAGATGCGAGTTGCCCTTTCTGGGGGTGCGAGACATGGCCAGATTTTCTTTTAGAAGGTAAATAATCGAAAACACAAATTAAGCACGGGCACGTAAGTACAACTACTTTGTAACATCAAACTCCTCTATGTATTTATTAACATTGTACATTTTTTTTAACGATTGAGGACCAAAGGGGTGCAGGCTGCAGTGGAGGTTCAGAACCACTGCTCGAGAGGGGTTCTCAAGAGCTATTTCCTGTGGAGGTCATTCTAACAGCAGTGCCAAGAGCAGGCAATTGAAGGGCAACACCTTTCCCTTTCCAGTCTCAAGTTCGTACATGTGCTGCTTTGGCACAAGACAGCCAGTGGAGAGGCTATTTAAAGGATTTAATTAAAAGTCACACCATTATTGAAGCTATTAAAACCATTGGGATTAGTCTCATTTACACTGGCGACAGCTAGGAAGGCCCCTGTCATACAATTGGCAGACTTGTTAAATGCAGACACAAGGAGATACGAAGATAAAAAAAAAATCATTTTAACTGCAAAGTCGAATTCAAAATCAAAATACAATGCAATTCAGGACTTATCTTACCATATCAAATTTGATTTGGATTCAATTTACGGTACGTTTACTTGCCTTTCAAACAATGCATGGTTCCATTTTAAAAACATTTGATTGTTGTTTCTGTAAATTGGTAGTGAATCAAAGCATGCTTTATAAATATGATTCATGAACATCTACTAAAATCACATATACAGGTAATTATCATGACGTGTTATCTCCAATCGAAGGGGTCGACAGTCTTGAATTCCCATCTTTTTCCATCCCTTATTTCTTGTAACCTGGCACACATTGTTATTGTCAATAAAACCACTACACGACTGCATTCTGTCCCTACAATCACTTCTCAGCCTCCTGTTCCATCTCTTGTCCTCACTCTCACCAGTAAACATGCAAGGTTCATCGAACCCTCTTGTGTGTCACCGCTCAACCCAAAATGTGCGCCGTTTTTATCGCTCTGCTCTTTGCAATACAGCGTGCTTCAAAGAAATGTTAACACTTTTTAGACTCTGCAACAACGAGAAATGTGCTGCTGCCTCCGGACTCTGGAGACCACCTGGAGAAGATTCGAGGCCACGTGTTGACAACGATGGCGAACACGTGGAGACTCTTTGAAGCTATTAACATACATTTGTTATCATGTTTTGTTATCATGTTACAGTGTGTTATTATCCGTTATATTTCCATTAAAAACGGTAGTCCCATGTAAGTGTTAATATTTTTATGAATCACACTGTATTTATTCATTTTGTCAATCTTTCAACCCGGCGGAATTTCATCATTATTCTCAGAACCTACATTTCTCGACTAACCAGCCGTCATTCGCTGTTCAATCCATGAATTAATGTTCAACCTGTCATATAGCCCTCCCCATCGGGCGGATCATGGACCTTTTTTTTACCATACTTCCCCACACTGATCAGTGAAGATTGCTGAAGGCGGTAGGGCACAAAGAAGCGAGAGCACTGACGCATAGCACAACAATGGAGATTTGCTGTAATACCCTCTACTGCCAGCAATGTAGTCCCAGGAAATATATACTGTCCTGTATATTGTAATAATTTTTGTAACTCGCAAATGCGCACAGGATTTGCCCACATCTCTCAGAAGCGCGCGGAACAACAAGCGAGCAGGAAGGCTGCCAGGTGGTGAGCCGGCACCGACAATTGCCCAAGTTCTGTGGTCCTGGATATATTACGGTGTTGTCGGCTAATTAATGAGTGTTTACACGTGGAAGGTAACCGGAGCACCTGGAGAAAACCCAAAACGCATGACGGGTAAACACTCTTTCCCATAACAGACATATGGGTTGTTTATCGAACTGTTGAGAAGGGGCAGGAATATGTTGTACTTTGCGTATCGCACTGGATGGATAGGACCTAAAACAATGCTGAGTCGGTGTTAGACAATAAAACATTTTACACTTTAACAGGTGGAGACCACATTTTTTGTGCGATCCATCAACCCTCGCTTCCAAAGTACTGGATTACAGACGAGCGCCACCACCGGTCCAGCTAATGTGGTAACAATAATATATCATATCTTCTAATGATATCAAGTAATTTGGATGGTAAAGTAGGTGAATGTGTGGACTCCCCTTGGACATACACGGTACCTTCCGAGTAACAGATGAGGTGGATGCCATTCGGGAATCTCTTCATGATGGGCCGCAGCTTGCGCGCAAGACCGTGCACTTGCTTCCACATGGGCTGCAGGCTTTTGAATCCGTTATAGATATTGATGGAGATCACCTTTGTGTTCGGATGTGCCTGGGATTACACAAGTAGAACTCATGGTGGAGTTAAAGTGATAGCTCAAAGGCAAATATGTGAATTCGATGTGTGACGTTGAGTATGAACTCGTGCGTGGCGTAAAGGTTCATGCTAGATTTGGAGAATGTTCCCCCATCATGATGCGGCATGAACCTGAAAAAATATAGAGAAGCACCCCTTACACACACCTTCACTCTCGATTGCTGTTACTGTGGTCAACTGGATTCTGTTCTTGGATAATATAAATGTAAATGTTTTTTGATAATCGCCTCCTATCACACCTAGTTTGTATTTTGCTTGGCGATTTGTGTTTCACGTGGATTTTTCTTTGGGTCCTCCGATTTTCCCTACACATTTAGAAACATGCGTTTAGGGTATCAGGCTGCTATACATTTCGACGTGATAAGCCACTCTGTTGAGCCGTCATTTGTGGCCAGGTCGCTTCTGAAAAAGCGCTACATAGCTCTGTGGGCCTTACCTGGTTAAAATAAAAATAGTTACGTTTCTAAAAATAATATATTTTACATACAGTATATTGTTTTTAGAAAAGGTAAAGGCGCATTCCTGAAATTGCTAGCTCATGCCACAGCTCTAGAAAGCTGCTCTATTAAGCCCCTCGTGGGTGAATTTGGCCTACCCTTCCACGCTGGCCCTGAAGTCTTAGACTTGGTGGGTACACCCACACTTTGCCCCACCACACACGACCTGTCAATTGACTGTTAATCGTGCCCCGATTTATGCTGCTGAGTGGACAGAGGTAGGGTAATAAACGTGCTAATTGATGAAACCTGTTCAGCATGGGTTTCCTCTGCTTTCTCTGGTTTCCTTCCATAGATAAGGAAAAATAAACCTTCTGTAACTGCTTTTGCCCAAATATCAGAATGCTAAAAGAAAAATACCTGCAAATTACTCAGCTGGGTTTACATATAGAAGTAACATCATCCCTCCTGCAAATACTTGGCAGGAACCTCCTGAAAAAAATAGTATTGCGATTCAATGAGGCTTCATTGGGTATCAGCATTTTTTTACCCACGGATAAACAGAGAACATTTGTGGACAATCCTATGAGTAATAGAAACGGCGACATTGCTCAACCACATTACAGCGGATAACAGAAGATCCACTGTTGTTTGCACCTTTGTTCATGTTACATATGCAGCTAAGATGTAACTAAGAATAATGCGCATCATGTTAAATGGAAGGAAAATGTGACTATAAATGCAAACACAACACTGTAATATCAGAAGCACCACGTATTTTATTTATCCAGCTTATGACTCTCATGATATTGTCCTCCCAACGTGTCTAAGTGATGTTAACGTTTCTGTGTTATTGAAATTTATATTTAACTATTACAGTACTTAAGCTAGTTGTCAGTGAGGCCGCATACAGTAAAGCCGAATATAGTTACCGTACATACCCTCACAATGTTCCTTTTCAAGACTCTGAAATCACTTGACTTTCCAAGCAAGCCATGCACATTGACGATTGGCTTGTAAGCAGCAGTGGAAATAACAAAGGCACTAAGAGCAAACAAAATTAGACTCCGGGTAAATTTGCAGTAAAAAAACATGGTTATGTTTTTGGTTATGTTTTTTTTGTCTTTAACGTGTCACTCTTATTCTTAGTTTTTTCGGTAAAGTCACGTTGAAGAGAAACAACAAAATAATATAATATATTATATTATTTTATATATATTATATTATTTTGATTTAAAGCTTTCGTGACTGCAGTAATTCATATTCTTAGTTTTTTCGGTAAAGTCACGTTGAAGAGAAACAATAAAATAATATAATATATTATATTATTTTATATAATATATTATATTATTTTACATATATTATATTATTTTGTTGTTTCTCTTCAACGTGACTTTACCGAAAAAACTAAGAATATGAATTACTGCAGTCACGAAAGCTTTAAATCAAAATTCGTGTCACTCTTGTTTGAAAATTCACAACTAACAAAATGTAAAATTGAAAAGCGTGAAGAAAAGACAAACAGCTGAGGTTCAACGAAACCCAAGACACAGACTCGGTTTGTCTGAATATATAGGGTGTGGAGCAAAAGGGGAGTTCTGCAATGTGGTAACAGATTGCCTTCAATAAAAGAGGAACTTAGCCTTGTGCTGAATGTTTTTACAATGAGTCAAGTTGCCTTTATAGAACGAGTGAATATTTGGATGCTATGTAAATTGAATAAAAAACACAACTAATAATTAAAAGAACAAATACATGAAATGGACCATTCTAAACTTTCTAAAATTAATGCTTGGAATATACTTGGGTCAGTTAGTCATTTAATTTCAGGTAAGGCCCTAGGCATTGGTTATATCCAGGGAGAAAACATTATTTTTCAAAATGTTGTAAATCGATTGGTAGTATACATATAGAGTATTTACAAACTGTTGCAAATATCCTGATGGGATTGCAAAACACTCCTTTGTTGCCAATGACAGCTGTGGTCGATCACAGCTGCAATACTACTTGAAAAAAACTAAATCAGATTTCATTACTTTGTGCAATCTAAAATAGCCACAGATCACAGGATAAATGTTTCCACCATTTTTATAAATCAACCTTTTTATGCGCAAAGGCGACGAGTGTGATGCTGTACTCATAGGTGTTGTTTATGAGAAGTTTCATTTCTCTTTAATGTTATTTTAGAAACATTTTGACATCACTCCTTAACGTGACCCCTGTGGGCACTGTTTTAATAGGTATGGTAGGAAAATGCCCTCCATTAGCACAGCTTTAAGAAGGATTGTGATTTCTATTCGTGTTTTCAAAATAATTGTCTGCAAAAAAGTTGAACAATTGTTCATCACAAAAGCAGACGAAATGTGACAACATTGGGGGGTTTTCCTCTCTGGCTGTCAGCAAAAAAAACCCCGCATTTGTTCCTTCCAAGTGGCATGCATGCTAATCATTCAGCAAGTCGTTTTTTGCGAAAAACAAACATTCAGCTCATTACTTCCCCCGGACTGCGGCTATGCTCGCAATTTCGCTACTTACGGTAAAACCTGGGGCAATAATTATCCACGGTCAGTGTGGGCACAACGTGTGTGTGTGTGTACCTTACTCTTACAAAAATCACTTCTGTTTTTTTGCATTGCAACAATTAATCTCATTTAACCATACCAACTCAGTACATCCTCACTAACATTGCCTTACAAAACAAATATAAAATAATAATGAAAGAAACACATTGCCAGAAACGTCGCATTGTTTAATATTGATCGCCCCGTGTACATACACGTTTTCTAAAACCTTATAAACGAATCCGACTTACACTTTTGCTAAGAAAATAAAAAAATTATGGGTGCCCATTTCTATTACGTGTACAGAAGAATGAGAGGCTTCAATGAGTGAATGAGAGGATTGATTAAATTAACGAGGGAGGAACGAGTCAGTGATTGAGAAATGTATGAAAAAATGAGGAAAGAATGCATTCATGAATGCGGAAATGAGAGATAAATGGGCGAATGAAAAGAACGAGACGATTGAGTGAGTGAACGAATGAGTGTAATTAGTGATTTAATTGCCATAATGAGAATGAATTCGATGAATACGTGAACGAATGAGTGCCTGGATGAGAGATAAACGAGTACATGAGGGATGAATGAGTGAGTGGTGTCTGCTGAGGGTTAGATGTCAAGTGAGTGCCTGGTTGGTAACTGCTAGTGGGTGTCAGGTGAGGGATAACTGGTGAGTGTCAGGTGAGTAGTATCTGGTGGGTGTCAGGTGAGTAGTATCTGGTGAGTGTCAGGTGAGTTGTAACTGGTGAGTGTCAGGTGAGGGGTAACTGGTGAGTGTCAGGTGAGTGGTATCTGGTGAGAGTGTCAGGTGAGTGGTATTTCGTGAGAGTGTCAGGTGAGTGGTATCTGGTGTCAGGTGAGTGGTATCTGGTGAGTGTGTCAGGAGAGTGGTATCTGGTGAGTGTGTCAGGTGAGTGGTATCTGGTGAGAGTGTCAGGTGAGTAGTATCTAGTGAGAGTGTCAGGTGAGTGGTATCTGGTGAGAGTATCAGGTGAGTAGTATCTGGTGAGAGTGTCAGGTGAGTGTTATCTGGTGAGAGTGTCAGGTGGTGAGTGGTATCTGGTGAGTGTGTCAGGTGAGTGGTATCTGGTGAGTGTGTCAGGTGAGTGGTATCTGGTGAGAGTGTCAGGTGAGTAGTATATAGTGAGAGTGTCAGGTGAGTGGTATCTGGTGAGAGTGTCAGGTGAGTAGTATCTGGTGAGAGTGTCAGGTGAGTGGTATCTGGTGAGAGTGTCAGGTGAGTGGTATCTGGTGAGTGTCAGGTGAGTGGTATCTGGTGAGTGTGTCAGGTGAGTGGTATCTGGTGAGAGTGTCAGGTGAGTAGTATCTAGTGAGAGTGTCAGGTGAGTGGTATCTGGTGAGAGTGTCAGGTGAGTAGTATCTGGTGAGAGTGTCAGGTGAGTGGTATCTGGTGAGAGTGTCAGGTGAGTGTTATCTGGTGAGTGTGTCAGGTGAGTGGTATCTGGTGAGTGTGTCAGGTGAGTGGTATCTGGTGAGTGTCAGGTGAGTGGTATCTGATGAGAGTGTCAGGTGAGTGGTATCTGGTGAGAGTGTCAGGTGAGTGGTATCTGGTGAGAGTGTCAGGTGGTGAGTGGTATCTGGTGAGAGTGTCAGGTGAGTGGTATCTGGTGAGTGTCAGGTGAGTGGTATCTGGTGAGTGTCAGGTGAGTGGTATCTGGTGAGAGTGTCAGGTGGTGAGTGGTATCTGGTGAGAGTGTCAGGTGGTGAGTGGTATCTGGTGAGTGTCAGGTGAGTGGTATCTGGTGAGTGTCAGGTGAGTGGTATCTGGTGAGTGTCAGGTGAGTGGTATCTGGTGAGAGTGTCAGGTGAGTGGTATCTGGTGAGAGTGTCAGGTGAGTGGTATCTGGTGAGAGTGTCAGGTGAGTGGTATCTGGTGAGTGTCAGGTGAGTGGTATCTGGTGAGAGTATCAGTTGGTGAATGGTATCTGGTGAGAGTGACAGCTGGTGAGTGGTATCTGGTGAGTGTCAGGTGAGTGGTATCTGGTGAGAGTGTCAGTTGGTGAGTGATATCTGGTGATAGTGTCAGCTGGTGAGTGGTATATGGTAGGTGTGTCAGATGGTGAGTGGTATCTAGTGAAAGTGCCAGGTGAGTGGCATATGGTGTTAGCTGGTGAGTGGTATCTGGGGAGAGTGTCAGCTAGTGAGTGGTATCTGGTGAGAGTGACAGCTGGTGAGTGGCATCTGGTGAGAGTATCAGCTGGTGAGTAGTATCTGGTGAGAGTATCAGCTGGTGATTGGTATATGGTGAGAGTGTTAGCTGGTGAGTGGCATTCTGGTAAAAGTGTCAGCTGGTGAGTTGTATCTGGTGAGTGTCAGCTAGTGAGTGGCATCAGGTGAGTGTGTCAGCTGGTGAGTGACATCTGGTGGGAGTGTCAACTATTGAGTGGTATCTGGTAAGAGTGTCAGCTGGTGAGTGGTATCTGGTGAGTGTCAGTTGGTGAGTGGTATCTGGTAAGAGTGTCAGCTGGTGAGTTGTATCTGGTGAGAGTGTCAGCTGGTGAGTGGTATTCTTGTGAGAGTGTCAGCTGGTGAGTGGTATTCTTGTGAGAGTGTCAGCTGTTGAGTAGTATCTGGCGAGAGTGTCAGCTGGTGATGGCATCTGGTGAGAGTATCAGCTGGTGAGTGGTAGCTGGTGAGAGTGTCAGCTGGTGAGTGGTATCTGGTGAGAGTGTCAGCTGGTGAGTGGTATCTGGTGGGAGTGTCAGCTGGTGAGTGGTAGCTGGTGAGAGTGTCAGCTGTTGAGTAGTATCTGGTGAGAGTGTCAGCTGGTGATGGCATCTGGTGAGAGTGTCAGCTGGTGAGTGGTATCTGGTGGGAGTGTCAGCTGGTGAGTGGTATCTGGTGGGAGTGTCAGCTGGTGAGTGGTATCTGGTGAGAGTGTCAGCTGGTCAGAAAACCAGTAAGGGGAGAAGAGGTGAAAGAACGGGACTGAACCGATGAGGAGGTAACTCCGTCTGTTGGACGGCGCTCTACTCTAGAGCAGTGGTTCTCAAATTCTGCTTCCCCAGACCACCGGATGGTCCGCGAAGGTCCTCCAGGTAGTCCGCGCGGCTGTGATCTGGGAACAATGACAATTTTTACTAAACCTTATGTTGTTTCGGACTTCAATTAATGTTTTACTGATGATATTTGATTAAAAACAAGTCAGGTAAACCTGTTTTACACGTGGGCTTTCGCGACCAATATCATCAATAATACAGTTTTTTTTGGGCTGCCGCCTGATGAAGCTAGCTGTAATTACTGGCGAAACGTCGCACTCAGATGGTAAATGTTGTGGCTTTGCTCTCCAACACACCGGTGTATTGTACTAGTAATTAATTGGTATGTTCTATTTACGCCACACACCTTACTAATTGGCTGTGTCGGGTGGTGGTGGGTTTAACGACACAATATTTACGCGATCCAACCCCAAAACAAACTGTATGAAGTAAACTACCCTGAATAAACTACCCTAACTCTAAGATCTAAACGTACCGCACACCTCCCTAAAAAAAAGCATAGCTGAGTAAAAAAATAAAGTTAATAATTTGTATTTTACCAGGGGGTGGGGGGAGCTTCTGTGGAATTGTTTGCGTCGACTGA